ATGCAATCACAAGACGTGATGACGGCACACTCAAGTTTTTTCAACTTATATTAATGCCGACACCAACACAGGGACAGAACAATACTCATTTACACCTGAGCGAAGTGAGGAAAGTCGTGTAAAGTGCCTTTCCCAAGGGCACAAGATCGGTGGCACGTCAGGACTCGAACCCGGGGCCTCTGGTTCCGAGTCGAGAACGCTGCCGCTGCGCCACACGACCCCACATCATGGAAGTTCATCTGTGTTGGTTGTAATCATAGTAAAATGTTGAACTTTATTCCAGCATGAACATTGAACAGAGATCAAATTTTCAACGACCTTCTGTCGCCTTCATCAGGATAATTAATGACCAATCACTTCAAAACGTAATCTCGCGAGAGTTACGATTACAGACACGTGACCTTATTCACAACAAAAAATGCCATGCGCTTAATGTTATGACATGTATATTTATACTTTACACATTTGGTAAGAAGTAGATATGAAATTATGATAATAACATCTTGGAGACGCCTCAGGATGATGACGGGTTAATTTTGTCACAAAGTACATGTGGCATGTGAACCAATGCAATCTCTCTTAACAGATAGATTATTACAGATGGCAGTCCTTGTAGGCTACATTTTTACTGACCCGTCGTAATTCCGATCACCATTCGACTATTTCAACAACTAACACATGTGAACTACGCGAACACGTGTGTCAAGGGTCCAATATGCTGCCTTGCGGTACACCACTTGATGCCTAAGCCTTACAGGGGAGGCATTGTACCACAGTGCCAAACTCACCGGCTTTCTACGCTTTACCTTTCTGAACCATAGTCTTCAATGGCATATCTAGCTTTGCTGTTAAGGCAGTCTTTCCTTTATCTAATCCATAACAAAATCCACTGTGATTATTGCAAACGGGTTGCTCCTGGATACTTCCTAAACCTACGCCTAATCCCAACACCAAAATAGCCCCAAAGAACACTGTTGGGTAGAATAATACTTCCTTGATCTAAAGGTGACTTCAATCATACATTAGGCCACAGCAAGTAAATTTTATGGATGACAGCCAGACCAAATCTAATGCGATAGGGCAAAAAAAAAGGCATGCCAAAAACAAGGTTCCTTTTTGACATCACAAACCTTGTTAAACAAGAAATGATACCTATGTTGTGCTAAGTTTACTGCCAACTATTAAAACATCCATTTCTCGGAAAAAGTTTTTAAAAAATAAACGTTTTCAATCATTGTACACATGGTTTTGATTCAGTGGTAACATCACATATAAAAGAAATTAAATACATCACTGCATCAAACTGTAAAAGACAATACATTCAATCAGAGCATTGTCTTGTCTCTTCTCAGATCATCTGCCATCCACGTTCCGGCATGGCAACATACATCTTTGTCCGTTTTCGACACGTTGGCCACTGTCAGATGACATGGCAAAATTTTCTCTTTTTTTTCCAAAATTTGGGCGAAAATTACTTGCTGTGGCCTTACGTTATTTACTCCCACATGACATTTGCGGATACAGGTAAAAGTCTGAGCGTAGGCGGTGGGAGGCTTAATTGATTTCACGATGCCAAACCTCGCGCCCGGTGGAGTGAATATGTCCCCGGGCCTGTGTAAGGCCACACTGATATAATTCTATGGATAACATCTACGCGCGCATTGATTTTCACCTGTACAAAAAAAACATATAAGGTATCCCCATACCAAATTTCAGGTCATTTGGTTTCAGCACCAGGGCCCACATCCCAAAATGTATATTTTGGCTGAAAATGGTCACAACAAAAAAAATAATTTTAAAGGCATGTTTAGAAATAAAATGGAAAAAGACGTTTGTGGGTATTTGCCCATTGTACCTCCATGCCACATTTCAGATCATTCGGCTGAGGGAGAAATGAGAAAACAATTTTTTTTATCCATAACTAAGGTATGGGCTGGAATAAAAAAAGAACTCCGAGGCTAAAACATGGGTGCAATACTCATGAATGTATTTCATGAAAGCAACCGACAATAGGGAGCCGGCGGTAACTACGGAGGATGGCACCCAGGCTGCCGACGCTCCACAGAACTCTAGAACTCAAACCCGGTGCAGAATTATAATGCGGCAAAAGGACAGCATGTGCCGGCTTGTCACAGAAGTAGTCACGTACAAACTGCACATTCGTAATACCATCTTTGTATACCTGTGGGTTAGGAGCATTTCTTTTTGGGCTGGACTTTTTTATTAGCCCGCTCGCATTTGTTTGGGAGTCTTCAGAGGATGTCATCCATAAAATTAAGTCAGTGTGGCCTAAAACCTGTAGCGGGGAGGCTTAGTAGTCGTGCCCGCGGTGGTTGTACGTTGCCAGGGTGATACCCAAACACAGGCTACGGTAGCGGAAGACTTTGATTTAGGGTATATTATAACTAAAGGCAGGCGTATGCATAACCTTCAATTAGGCCACACCAAGTAAATTTTATGGATGACGTCCACGCGTGCATTGATTTTGGCCTGTTCCTAGAAAAAAAAAACAAGAAATTCCACTTCCTGTAACTATGACCAAAGAGTCACGACAGTGCCGCAAATCGATCGTATCGTCAGATCGACCTGAAACCCGTAACGCGAAATGGGTAAAGGGCACAAAAATGTGATGAAAGAAACAGGACAGGACAACAACTGCTGTTCCACCTGATTTATTGCTGTTTTGATGATGAATAAAAGACTTCTTGCTTGTTACACTGTGTCACCTCATTCAATTTGTGTCCTAACATTTGTCGTCTCTTAGTATATTTCTAATCTAGGCATCTTGTTTTTTAGGGCCCTTCTTGTTTTTTTCGCCCTCTCGCATTAGATTTAGGGTCTCCAAAGGACGTCATCCATAAAATTTACTTGGTGTGGCCTTACCACAGAATGTACACTCAAAAGTATTGGACCCGCGCAATAGCTCCACAACCTTTCCAATATCATTTAAAAGAGAGAACAGTAAGACTTCATGCTTTTAGTTTTCTGCTCCGATGTTTCTCCGATACCGCAGAAGGGTTTATAAGATGGAGAGAGTCACAGATGCACAGGAGTACATGAAGGGGACTACTCATATTTCACCACCTGGGGGGCTAGGAGATATCCCAGAAAAGGCAGGGGTGAACCGTTATAGTTTTGACGGGTGGAGACGGGATGAATTTTCAATACTGAGAGCATAACAAGCTCATTAGCATCAAGAATAATTCTCCTAGGACTTCACCAATTCACTTACATTTGCTCTGTGTTGCTGACAGCCGTTCGGCGCTTTGTCTAGTCTTACAAAACAGACCTGAATACGTACGTAGGGACGACATACGATCCTACCAGCTAATGAGGTAAATAGGATTAAGCTTGTGCGACTATGTAATTGGAGACTACAAAAGGGTTTTCTGATACCATGTTGCTCGTCTGATGTTACCGACTTGTTAATAATGTAGTCTTCCTTATGCAGTGTTAGAAATACATGTACCCATCTGCAGTCTGCATTTTGCAGAGACATTTTCAATATTGCAAAAGAAGACCTTAAAAAGCAATCTACAATTTTGCAGACTGAAAAAAAAAACAGTCTAGGGTTCAATAGCTTTTGCATTTACTACTCACTCTATAATATACAAGTAATTTTGCATGTATTTTTCAAATAGCATATAAAATGTTTGCCAACATGCAATTTTGCATAATTATGCAACGTGTTTAGATCAGCACATGTAAGTGTGTATTTTCAGAAATTATTTCCGAATTGTAGAAAAAAATGTTGACATTCTGCAATATTGCAGCCCACTGGAAAAAAAGTATTTCTACCACTGTAGCTGTGTTTATGTATGCTATATTAAATGATAAAAGTCTGGATCGAATGCACCGTACCCTTAAAGGTAGCCAATGCAATTTCAGGGGGGGGGGGGCAAGACAAAGAATATTTTTGATGCGTAAATCTGACTGATATTGACATTTACTGCTTTTCTATAGCACATTTTGTTACCATTTCAAACTTGAATCGTTTGAATTAGCCCCGGAAACAAGCCACGGTTTTTGGTACCACTGATAAATACCTAGAACCAGTCTGCGATACATGACAAGCAACCGTTTTCTATCAGTGACATCGCATTTTTGTCTCAAATATATCAGTATGCTATGGGATAAGGTTAATTCAACTACTACGTTAAAAACAATGACCAGAAAGTGTGTCTTGTGGGTGTGCCTCATGCACTGCTTTAAGGCCGCATTAGTATCATAATTAGCTTTTTACTCTGTACATAATGATATTTGATAATTTTTGTACATAATTAATTCTGTGTATAATTTTTACCGAATTGTATATTTCATGTCTACTGATTTTTGATGTCTAATGTTTATTGTTTGACTTGGTTTCGTATTGTTTTGTATTATCATTTCAGGTTTGGGAGGACAACTTGTAAAGGCGTTGATACACCTGTTTTGTCCTCCCTTCCACTTGTTTTTGTATGTGGTAAATTCAAATAAAGAAATAAAGAAATAAAGAAAGTCCAGTTTTAGTGCCCTGAAATCGTTTTGGGTACCTTTAATGCCGGTAAAGTGTGAAATGTCGTTTCAAAATGCGTATACCATGAAAAGATACATAATGTAGATTCGTACAGCTGGGAGATTGATTTTAACGCCACACTGGAATGATGCTGCATCAGGGACTTTCTCTAAGTCACCTTCACAGAGAAATTATAATATATTGCTCGTACGTATAGCGGTAAAATGAGGCTCCGCTGCGCAGTTAATTTATCAACGAAAATATGTACCAAAACGTCCCACATAGAACATCAAGGTTGAGGTTGGGGCTAGGAAATAATGTTGTGTTTCCTGTTGACCCTAGAAAAAGCTGTCGACCCTAGGCTTTTTTGTGTGTGGACCTCTGTAAGGGACATACATTTTTCGAGCTGATCAACATTTTCTAGCTGCAAAATCTAAATCTGAAGCCTAAGTGATAAAGCATTGCACAATCAGTACAATCATAAAATTTCTTGTTATTTTTTCAGTGCCTCCTACAGTTACGGTAGGTCCGAGGAACCCGTATGTAGTAAGATGGCGGACCAACGTCAGTGTCAGCTGTTCAGTCGGAGATCCGGTCCCAAAGGTCAAAGGTCAGTCACGAAGAAATCCTTACATATACTGTGGCAGTTGCCACTTTATTCACCATTTCCCATTCCCAAGATGCATTGCGCCTGAGGGGTAGCCATGGGATGTGAACTGTGTATTCCTGTGATGTGATGTACCATGAAGGTTGCTTCCTTGATATTCATATACTACAATATCAGCTGAATTTTTTTTTAGCAATATATCTCCATTTCTATTGACAGACGGCATAGCGTTACCACCGTACGGTTACAACCCACATGTTTCATGTTAAAAAGAACACAAAAATTTCATTCTATATTTGCTGTCAGATTCAACCCATAGTAAGTCAATTAATGTTGAGCATAAAATACCCCAAAACCTCAAAACACACGTACACGGAAAAATAAACTGTTTATCATCAACAAGATACGTTCCTCCGCCAAAGAAAGAATGCAATAAACGCAATAAAAAATGCTAGCCTGTTACATAGGACTATACATGTATGTGCTGCAAGAATAAATCTTTGATTTTTCAGGTTTGGAGGTCCATGTAGCTTTGTATCTTTATCTATGTAGACAGTATAACCGCCCTTCGGCGTAACACACTCTAGCTAAAGAGTAAAGAGTAGAGTAAGGCAGTCTATTACTGTTTTATCTGTTGGATCTATGATGCTTTTTCATGAAGCATGACATGACCACAACCCAGTCCTTCGTGCTTGATAACAACTGTGCCGTCGGGTGTACTGTAGTTATATAAAATATCGCAAGATGGCGCTCTGCATCAGTGGCGAACAACACACACACACACACACACACACACACACACACACACACACACACACACACACACACACACACACACAAACAGACAATACATTCAACCTGCTGTTTGCCTTCTTTTCCCCATAGGATTGTCATGGCGAAAGGACGGGAAGGTCATAGATGTATCACGTGCAAAGTACGGACATGGGGACGTCGAGTCACCGTCCCTTCAAATCAGAAACGTCAGTAAAACTGACTGGGGGACCTACACATGTGTGGCGGACCACAAGACTGGTATCAGCTCTGACAGTTTGGAACTACAAGTAGAATGTGAGTTCTCAATAACTAAGTTAATATACTATTGCTAACTAGAAAGGTGACATTTGCAAAGCAAATGCACAATGTTTACATTCGCAGATGGTCTGGTCTGTAAATTCTTAAACACATTTATACATATGGTGACAGGTGTCTAAATCCCTCCTGCTATAAAATTGCAACATGATGTAACCAAACACAAATTAACCATGGTGATAGACGTCTGGTTCAGGTCGTTGAGCTTATTTTTTTAAATTTGTTTTGGAGAAGAAGAAGCAAAACAGAACAAAGCAGAGCAAAAACAGTATGTTTTCCTTAGGTTAACATAACTAGGTTGATATCTTTGAGGTATTCTTATGAATAATTCAAAGATAGTTTCAAGTTTGACATACAACTCAGCCCCCCTCCCCATTTCGCCATGGTTTTACTCCATACTGTGACAAGGACATTTCGATTGTTTTCAGCGCCCATACACACAAACTATATCTGCAAATTGTAGATAAGGTCCTTGAGAGGCCTACCTTGAGTGTTGAACTTGAACAAAAGTTTCAGCGTTGAAATTTTCAGTGTTCCTGTCCTGGTTGAGTTGTATGAGATCGAGTTGCTGCATATCGTGGTGCATGGTGAGATGAACAGGGGGTCTTCATCATTGACGTCATGATAATTATCATATGAATCTCGCCAGTTTTGGCGGGTAAATTGATTAAGTAGCCGCATGTTGACATGTTTAACAGACAAGCACTGTACTGACCCTAAATCCGCTAATCTCCAAGCAGATCTTTTGGTGGGGGTAAGACAGTATCAAATTGGCCAGTCTGTAATCATTACAGGCTGGCCACTTTGATACTGTCTTACCCCCACCAAAAGATCTGAGACCCCTCTGACCAAAACAAGCAATGACCTACATGTATAGCTAGTATTTTATTTTGCAAACGGATTGATTTTGTTGTTTGTTTTGTTCTATTTATTTGATTTACGTATGTGACAGGCTCTGTAATTCTGATTTTGAGTTGATATTGTTCAACGTATTTTGAATTGTTAAGATTAAGTATTACTCCTATGTTCGATTTTGTGTTTTATGTTGTACAATTGTAACGTTTTTGTTGATTCATCTGTTGGATGTGGAGCCAGGGCCCCCTTGGACATCAGTTGTTTATCAACTGAAGGGGCGACCCTCAAGATTAATAAATAAATAAATGATTGGAGATTAAAATCCACGCCCTGCTGGGGCTAAATAAATCAAGTTAGACACATAGAGTAAAATAAGAAAACTATGCTATGCTTTATCTATATCTAGATTCACATGCTTTTTTTACTCGTCTTGAAATATGTGCAATCAATTTTTTTCAATTATATCTCGTATTCCTTCGCATGGCCCTTATGCTTTACGTATTCTGAATAAATGAACGAATGAAAAGTTTATTTAATCATTTTGATTGGATATGAAAGGTACATCGCATCCATTGACTGAATTGCGTACTTTTACATTATGTAAAAACTGTTGACATTAAGGCAATTTACCGATTATCGCTATTCTTATCGTTTAGGCCATGTTGATTTGATTATATGGATGACATCCTCCGGGAGCCCCAAAACTGATGCGCGTGCGAATTAAAAAAGTTTTGCAAAAAAAAAAAGTTCTTTTCATTATGAAATCTACGTGGTCATGAGGGTTCAGCAAATGGCACAGAATATGGTTTGGCGAATAATCTAGTCTTCAAGCTCATTTCTTTACAATTTCGTCTTTTTTCGTTTGATTTTGGCATTCTACGACATTGGTATAGTTTTTATTAATTTTTTTTGTAACTTATGGTATATTTTTGCTCATTTTGCAACATGTTTTGTACGATTTACAGTATGGTTGGAAACTTTTTTTTTTGGAAACGGCCGAAAATTCATGCGCGCGCGGATGTCATCCATACAATCAAATCAACATGGCCTTATATGCTAAAACACAAGAAAACGCTACCTTAAAACAGGTAGGTTTTAAGTCGGATACATCGTAGTAGTTCAAACATGTACGTTTATAATAAGAATTTTGTGACATCTTCTATCGTTCTGTACAGACCCAGCAATCATCACAGAGATCACAAAGTCCCTCACAGCGAACGCAGGAGACAGGGTCCTGTTGGAGTGTCGCGCCGAGGGGAACCCCGAGCCGACCGTGATGTGGTCTCGGGCAGGGTCGCGTGTCCTCCCGGGGACCCAGGCCTTCAGCGACGGTCTGAGCACGCTGACTCTCGGGAACGTGAAGAAGAACGACAGCGGAGTCTACACGTGTGTAGCCAGTAATAACATTGGGGAAAGTCACACCAGATCAGTCAGACTAAGAGTAGAAGGTAAATAAATTGAAAATCACACTACATTAAAGTTCTTTTGCCAGTTATGGCACTATGGTCACAGCAAGTAAATTTACTCCGTGGTAGTCCTGTATTCTCATCAGTTGTTAACTCCAATATATTATTACTTACCCAAAACTTTATCACCACATCAGAACGTTTTTAAAAGATTTCAATTTCTCCCTTTGTTATCTATGTACTGTGTCCTCTTTGCCATCATTTATCATTGGGTGGGGAACCGGACCTGCGCTCTTGAATTTCTTGTATTTACTGTTTTTTGCCTGTCTTAAAGTTGCGTTTGTTTTCTTTCTTTATTATACGTATTTATTTAGTGGTGCCGTCAACATAAGTGCTTTCCACTTGAGTGCGGCACCACCTTGTCCTGTACCTTTTTCTATGTGAATAAATAATAATTTAAAAAAAAAGTAAATTTCATGGATGACATTTTCCACAGACTCCAAATCTAACACGATAGGGAAAAAATACAAGGCGGGCAAAAAAAACCAACAAGGTCCCTACATTTTTAAAAGTTTGACATCATAAACCTTGTTAAACAAGAAATGATACCTACACTGTGCTAAGTTAACTGCCTACTATTATAACATCCCCACGACACCCCAGATGGTAGAAGTGGACGGATAAAGTAAAGTATTATATAACACACATTTCTTACCGAAACAACTTTGAAAGATAAAAGTTTTCAATCATTACCACAAGTACAAATGGTTTTGATTCAGTGGGAACATCACATATACACAGCCACCATCACATATGGAAGGAATGAAATACATCACTGCATCAAAGTAAAAGACAAACATTATCATGGAGTCTTGTCTCCTCTCTTCATAGTTATCTGCCATCCACGTTCCGGCATGGCAACAGGCATCTTTGCTCATTTTCTTCATGTTAACCACGCACTAAGGGCAACAAAATTTGTTTTTTTTCCAAAACCAAGCCAAAATTAATGCTCACGCTGATGTCATCCGTAAACATTACTAAGGCCATGTTGATTTGATTATATGGATGACATCCGCGCGCGCATGAATTTTCGGCCGTTTCCAAAAAAAAAAAGTTTTCAACCATACTGTAAATCGTACAAAACAGTTGCAAAATGAGCAAAAATATACCATAAGTTACAAAAAAAATTAATAAAAACTATACCAATGTCGTAGAATGCTAAAATCAAATGAAAAAAAGACGAAATTGTAAAGAAATGGACTTGAAGACTAGATTATTCGCCAAACCATATTCTGTGCCATTTGCTCAACCCTCATGACCACGTAGATTTCATAATGAAAAGAACTTTTTTTTTGCAAAACTTTTTTTTATTCGCACGCGCGCATCAGTTTTGGGGCTCCCGGAGGATGTCATCCATATAATCAAATCAACATGGCCTTAGTGTGGCCTAAGGTACAACAGTTCGTGATATACTAGTACTAGTAGTGCGATGCTAAACTTTATTCCAACATGATATTCAGGACCTGTGTTTATTTTTTTGAGGTTCAGAGACGAACAGTTTGACGTTGACAGCCATCATAGCCGGCGCATGCGCGGGAGGGGCTTGGATCATCCTCTGTCTTGTGCTGCTAATCCTCTGGATAAGAAGGTAAACGTTTTAGTAGCATCTCCTCCTTGCGAAGAATTTAAGTATTGCACATATTAGCCTGTACTGGATATCTTTCTCATTCACGAGTTGCACATTCCCAGGATCCTTTGCGCACAGGGTAGGGTAAACCACGTGACTCATCTTCGGCTCTGGTCGGAAGAAGGTATCTGGCCGATAGTAGGCTGGGAGCATTCAATTTCAAAAATCTGTCTTTTTGTCACATTTTCACGTAGTATTTTGAATCAACCCTATCCTATCCCATACCGATAGTCATGGAGCAAAAATTCGATGCCGCTTTGCCGTACGAACGCCGTGAAAAACTACGTGCCTCCCGCCGCCGGCAGTGGTGTCAGCCATTTTTGAAATTTCCGAGCGCTCGCGAACACTTCCGACTTCTTCCGAGCAGAGCCGAGGATGAGTCACGTGGTTTACCCTACCCTGTGCGCAAAGGATCCTGGGAATGTGCAACTCGTGAATGGCAATTTGGGGACCACCAAATGAACACCAAATTTAAAATGTGTAGTCACCAACTTTAAAAATATTTACTTCCTGTCGGCATTCCTGGCGCAATATTTTTCAATAATTTCATGTCTTTATTAGATCATAGACCCCAAATTTGTTTTGCCCTGCATTGGCATAGTTACTTCCGCATTCGTTGCGTTTTGCTGCGGTGTGATGCGTTGCACGAGAAATACCCCCAAATCGTACCTATACAGGGTGTTATATAGATGGTACTGTATGTGCAGAACAACAAATGTTGTGCTCAGCAGGACAAGGGTTAAGACCCGTTGATACTATTTACCATACTTGACTGGACGACGTGACTGGACGAGTGTGATGTACATGTATATAGTAGGTAGTCGGTGGCGGCCTCGGTCGCGGTTTTTTCCTCAGGCCTAACTTGTCTAAATTATAACCGTTCTTATAGAAGAAGACGAAGGCGAAATGACGCAGCATACTACTCCGTGGGGTCCAGAGAGTTCCAGTTTCTGGCCAGCCGGAGACTGGCGGAACTGCAGGCGACAAAACCCATGCCGCCGCCCGCAGCCCCTCCCAAGAGATCCTTAATGACAGGTGCGCCCTCTTTCAGATAAGATACAAACTGCAAACACACCAGTAATGACGTTTCACAGATAACCGTATTCCACGGTACAAAGTATGGCATCTACTAGTACATATCACCTGTAATCGTAACACCTTTCAGGGCTTGAAATACACGGTGCATGTATCCTTAGTGCACCCAAATTTGGAGCGGTGCACCCAAATATTTTCGTAGGTTTACGTATGTGAAGATGTTAAATGTATAGTAGTATACAGCATATTCTTACCCTTCAAGTGATGTGTGTGATATTCTAAGAGAGATGTCTATTGTTTCGTAGCCGGAACAACCCTTGAATCCTCTCCCCGCCGTCATGGTACGTATAGGAACCACTTCTTGAATTGTAACGTTCTTTCTAGGGCGGCATTAGTAAAATTACTACGGCAAGCAATAGAAAGAAATATATTCTATATGTTTCGGCAAAAGAAGATACTGCAATTGGCGAAGAAAAAACGGGATAGAACATGGCTATTACAAGTCACATTGGAACGGAAGGGAGGATGAATGTAGACCTGATCTGTTTTTGTTTTATTGTTCCAGACCCGTCCAAGCCAACATGCGAGACTCTGGATAAAAGCCGCATGCGCGCAGCGGAAGGAGGTACGTCACTTTATACTTGATGTATGGGATCCATATACAAAGAAAGACAAAGACAAACTGGACAGGGTACAGAATCAAGCTGCAAGATTCTGTATGAACAACTATGAAATAGTGTCACGTAAATGAAGGCACTGGAAGGCAGAAGAAAAATGTCCAGACTATGCATGACGTAAAAATGAATATAAACTGGTGGACGTACCAACTACTAAGTACCTAATACCAGCCCAGAAGAAAACAAGAAATAGCCATGCCTTCAAGTACCAGAGTTATCAACCAAGTTAAAACTTTTAATCCAACACAAAAAATTCTCTCATATAGAGCTTTCGACCAGTCACTTTGGTCTTCTCCAGTAGACTGATCCAGTGAAGCTTGTCACGTGGCTTCTTTGAAGTGTGACGTCAACAGGTCAAAGGTATCTGGGTCAAAGGTATCTGGTAGACGATGTCGGGCCCCGTCGCGGTTTAATATTGTTACTATATCATTGTTGACCCCACAGGAAGACGGCTCGCCCGCGTCATCTACAGCTACCATCCGCAGGAGGAGGACGAGCTGGAGCTGAAAGTAGACGACATCCTGGAGGTGGTCAAGGGAGACGACTCCGGGGGCTGGTGGTACGGGCGTCTGGGCAGCAAGCTGGGGCTGTTCCCCTCCAACTACGTGGAGATGATGACAACAGCAAGTGGTGAGAGCATTCTCTGTGTGGATATTTTAGTTACTTCCGGGACGGAAGTATTGTTTTGGGAGGCTCCGGGGGATGGTGGTACGGGCGTCTGGGCAGCAAGCTGGGGCTGTTCCCATCCAACTACGTGGAGATGATGACAACAGCAAGTGGTGAGAGCATTCTGTGTGGATATTTAAGTTTATTCTCCAAGCAGAGTATTTTTACCTTTCTAATATGCCCCGTTTTTTCTGCAATGATGCAATCATTACATTTCCATGATTATTGATGAGACAAAAACAATGAAAATAGAAAGGCTATAAATATTTTTATGTAGGTATGAGGTGTCTGAATTATTCTTGCCATTGCCATTGCTAACATCACGCATATATTTTTTCCTCAGGTCTTGCCAAGCCCAGTGCACCGAGAGGACCAAACGGAAGAGGGGAGAAACCGTCACCAGGGGCAAAGGTACCATCAATCAATCAATCAATCAATCAATCAATCAATCAATCAATCAATCAATCAATCAATCACCTTTTTTGCTCAACAACTGTAACTGGTACAATTGGTAATGGTATGGCAAAGAAGGTATCGCAAAGAGGAAGCAACAATGATGGATTGTGTAGGTCGAATTTGGTAGCGTGAGAATGTGCTGCTTCTGCATATATAAACAAGGAAGCACCAGGCAGTATTACGATGCTTGGGTTATTGGCAGGAAATGGGGTCAAATGTCTGATTGCATGTGTTGCCACCAGAACACCTAACAATATTTTCCATACCGCGTTCTTCCCTCCCTCAAAACAACAAAGTGGCACAACAAAATCCTTCAAGATAGACATCTATCATTATGGCAAAACATCCCTATTATTAATAGTATTAACATAAGTGACTAGAAATAACCAAAAAGACTAGAGAAGTAACATTTGCAAAGCAAACGCATAATGTTTACCTTCGGACATGGTCTGCTCTGTTAATTCTTACTCAAACACATTCAAATACATTGTACTACTAGTATATGCTGACAGGAGCAAAGTAGATCATGAAATTGCAACGTTATGTAACCCAACACCAGTCACTATGGTGACAGGCGTCAACAACTCATGTCATTGGTCAGGTCATAGGTCACTGTTTGAAGAAGAAGAGGAAGAAACAATATGTTTTCCTTCGGTAAACATAATAAAACAAATACGAACTATTTCATGGAGGGATGATGTCTACGACTTCTTCTTGTTGCATTTTGAAACACTCTTCTTTTTTCCGGCAACAGGCAGGGAGGCTTGAGGAGCTGGTAGAAGATCCCCTCCACGTGTCCACCCCAGAGAAGCGCGGAGGGGGACAAAACATGAGTTGGTGAAGAGGACCTATTAAGCACAAGGACCAATGTCATAGAGCGCACTGATACCGAAAAGCGGTGATCAGGTCTCCCCATCTTGGCAAGCAATTTCTCGTCATCGATGCTTTATTTTAGACGACTATTTTAGATGAATATTTTAACTTGATGAGTCATGTGGGCCTTTCTGATTGGGAAAGCCCCTGTGAAAAATAGAAATCCCATTTCGGTTTGATTTAGTGAATTTGACTGCCTAAGGACACCCCCCCTCCCAAGACCTTAACCGAAACAAGTTAGTGTTTCTTGGTTCGTAACATTATGGGTCATAATCGTCTTTGACGGTTCTGTACTTAAAGTATACATCTACTTCATCTCCCATTTTTCAACCACATTTCAATGCCAAATACATACCTCAATTGGCCATAACATATTAAACGTACGTAGGAACGCGAAAGATTATGAAATGAAACCGGTATCCATAACCTGTTGTGATATATTTCTATTTATGATATGATATTTCCCTTCTTTTATGCCTACAATATATAGAAATGTTTATTGTGTCGTTATCGAAGTGAGTAAACATGTAATGTGTGTACAGAATATGTTTGATTTAACATCTATTAATATCTTGTTTTTGGAAACCAAAGAAAATATTTGATGCCATAGATCAAGAACTACACAGGAAACTTAAATATGACGTAAACATGCCGTTTGTACTTTCTGCTTTCAAATCATCACGAAGATTAAACATGAAGGAAGATTGCTTCCGGGTCAGAAAGATGGCTTCCGGGTCAACAGGAAGTGCGTGTTTTGAGGGACTGATGACATGATGTGTTTAAATCTTTCTGATCTTTCTTTCTGTTGACAAAGTGTCGTGACAAATATTGTTTTTGTCATACTTTTAATTTCAGCAGTATGCGAGTCGTAATTGTCGTATTGTTTGTCAATGCCGAAGCTTTTCAATAAAAAATTGTCAAAAAGTATAAATGTTCAACTGGTTTTTATCTTTTACACTTCGACATTATACACTTCGACATTATATTTGTATATTTGTGTTTTTCTCACATCAAGTAGAAAAACTGAAAATGTTAATAGTTCATTTTAGCTACTTTATCAATCTACAAGATCGACCGTTGATTTTTCAAATTAATTCAAAGGACAGTATAACATTTGAGTTGTATATCGATTTAATTTCAATAAATGGTTTATCGGTATTGTCAGCAAGAAGCTTTGAACATTTTTTGGTGGAGGGGACTTACACTATTGTTGTCGGTAGCCATTTTAAACAGTATTTTTCTATTAGCAGTAAGCAGGGGCCTGTGCTACAAGTGAGGTGTGTGTGTGTGTGGTGTGGTGTGGTAAAAAGTATTGACCTACGTACAAAATTATGGATGAATCAACATGCTGACTTTGGTGTGTCACTTTTACTACTTGTTCTAAGGTCTAAACATTCTTTGATATTTGTGATGTGTGCTGGAACTAAGCTTAAACTTTGCAACTATGAATTATACCAACGGAGATGAGCTTTCATTCGAATTCTTTGATATATTTACCTATTTGTACACAGCGTTTTTACCTCCGGGGGAGGAGACATCCTTCCGCGGAAGGGTTTTGTGAGAGTGATTTAGATTTTCATGTTCGCAGCTGTTTCTAGCGTTTGGGTGAACGGATCCTTTTGAGACTCGGTATATGTTTTACTATTGGGCTGCAGACGATGTACATTCTTTTGTTTTTATTGTATATGTGTTTTCGGGCGTGAAAATGGTGCCTTTTGGTGGCCCCAAAACACCCCTTTGAGTGTGAAAGTGGTCGCGACCGTTGACCTTTGGCGTGTTTAAGCTATTCTCGGTCTGGTCCACGTATATGACCCCTCACACAGAGGGGTGTCCGGTCTCGTTAAATTCTTTGTTTACAACCCTACATAAAAATATACAATAAAAAGCCCGGAGGTATAAAATCTCGATCAGATTTTACTTGTTACTTTCTAGAAGAAAGTTAAATTTATCTATACCATGAAATGTGACAAATCAATGGAAGCTGAAAACTGAACATCATGCATATTTCTTCAGTTCACGTTTGAAACCCTCACGAATAAGTGGTTGTTCCCAATTGTGGGGTCGTGTGGCGCAGCGGCAGCGTTCTCGACTCGGAACCAGAGGCCCCGGGTTCGAGTCCTGACATGCCACCGATCTTGTGCCCTTGGGAAAGGCACTTTACACGACTTTCCTCACTTCGCTCAGGTGGAAATGAGTACTGTACTGTCCCTGTGTTGGTGACGGCATTAATATAAGTTGAAAAAACTTGAGTGTGTCGTCACCACGTCTTGTGATTACATGTTTCGGAATAAAAAAAAAATAATAAAAAAATTGTTGCATATTTCATGTCATTTGCACACCCACCTTCACCTTCATTACATCTCAGTCAACAGAAGCCACTCACAGAGGAACTGCTGAAAAGTACCTAGCCAAGTCCTTTCTTCGTTTGTTTGTTTCTTTATTTGTTTGTTTTATCTTAACCCACATCTGTACTGATCCTGAAAACGTCGTAGAGTCCACGTATATTATTCAACACATGATTACCATTACCGCACTGTGAATACGAAAGGTAAGTATATTTTTTAATTACTCGTCGTTGGTAATGATATCTATTGCCGCATTCTTCATTTCGAAATATTTCATACTTAATCATGTTGCAGTGATATAGGATGTGTGTCTTTAACTCTTAAAAAAGTATTTTCAATTTCAATTTTTCAATTTTATTAAGAATAGTCAACATAGCAGGGGTACATAGTACTCCTGAATTGTGTGGACCTTACATATTATTAAGTATAAGAAACGCACAAGACAATTACATACAGGAGTGGGACATGAAACAAAAGAACACTAAGTCTGCATTTCGCTATTGTACAGTCTGATTGTGCAATGGAGGAACGAGTTGTACAGTCTGTTTGTCCGTGCCATGGGCACCGTGATACCCCCAGAGTATTGAGAATCTAGAAACAAATAATAAGAAAAAATGCCGCTTTTAATGGATGGAATCTTCTATTTAAGACGAACACTAAGATGGTGAAAACGTTTTTGTTCTCGCCAGGAAATGCTTATCTGTTTTGTTGTTGAAAAAAAGCCGAAACTCATGATTAGCCCTACTTGATTATATACTGTATTATCGTATTTTTTAAAATATATTTCAACATGTAATCACACGACATGGTGGCAGCACACTCAAGTTTTTGCAACTTTGGCCATGTTGATTTGATTATATGGATGACATCCTTCGGGAGCCCCAAAACTGATGCGCGCGTGCGAATAAAAAAAAGTTTTGCAAAAAAAAAAAGTTCTTTTCATTATGAAATCTACGTGGTCATGAGGGTTGAGCAAATGGCACAGAATATGGTTTGGCGAATAATCTAGTCTTCAAGTTCATTTCTTTACAATTTCGTCTTTTTTCGTTTGATTTTGGCATTCTACGACATTGATATAGTTTTTATTAACTTTTTTTGTAACTTATGGTATATTTTTGCTCATTTTGCAACTGTTTTGTACGATTTACAGTATGGTTGAAAACTTTTTGTTTTGGAAACGGCCGAAAATTCATGCGCGCGTGGATGTCATCCATATAATCAAATCAACATGGCCTTATATTAATGCTGCCACCGACACAGGGGACAATAGAATACATTACTCATTTTCACTTGAGTGAGGTGAGAAAAGTCGTGTGAAGTACCTTTTCTAAGGGCACAAGATCGGTGGCATATCAGGACTTGAACCCGGGACCTATTGGTTCCGAGTCTAGCACTCTGCCATTACGCCACACGACCCCTCTGCTATATGTTTACGTTTATATGTTTAGTAATTAGGTGTTAATTTTGCCATACATTGTACCATGTACAATTGCCATGCAATAAAGTTCTTCTTCATACAATTATACTCTATATGTGGTGATGCACAAACAAAACAAACCGGATGCCCAGAATACCTTTTTTCTACATCGGTGTTTCTATAAGAAAACATGAAATATGTATAATGCCCCCCCCCCCGTATGCATATTATGTCCCTTTATGATGAGCATAGTAAGGTCAAGTTGATTTGATTATATGGATGACATCCGCGCGCGCATGAATTTTCGGCCGTTTCAAAAAAAAAGAAGTTTTCAACCATACTGTAAATCGTACAAAACAGTTGCAAAATGAGCAAATAAATACCGTAAGTTGCAAAAAGAATATTAAAAAATGATACCAATGTCGCAAAATGCCAAAATCAAACAAAAAAGACGAAAATGTAAAGAGAAATGAATTAAAAGAGTAGATTATTCACCAAACCATACTCTGTGTCATTTTTTCAACCTTCATGACCACGCAGATTTCATAATGAAAGCAACTTTTTTTTTTGCAAAACTTTTTTTTTTATTCGCACGCGCGCATCAGTTTTGGGGTTCCCAGAGGATATCATCCATATAATCAAATCAACATGGCCTAATGTAAGAAAAAAAGCTAATTTCAGCAATTGCGTAAAAAAAACACCGTCGATTGAAATTCAGACTGATGCTTGTTATTGGGAATAGGCGGTGAATGTATTGATGTAATTTTTGAATTTCATATTCTTTATTGATTTTATTGACTTTACTCCCTTGTACCCCCACTCAGAACATTCTCTGCCAGAACTCGCTTAGCCATCTTAACAGCAGAAAATCACCCTTTCTTCCTCAATAGTCCATCAGTCAAGAGAAAATTTCATGCAGACAGTTTCTTCCCCAGAACCACTTCACTGTGGAACAAGCTTCCCCGTGAATGTTTCACCGCTAATTACAACCTCCAACGGTTTAAATCAAGGGTGAACAAATATCTGACCACGCAGTCATCACTGTAACCCGAAACATGTAAGTGGCTCTCACGAGCCTTGTTTTGAGGTGAATCTGAAGTAAATAATAAAAAAATAAAAAAATTGGTGGTCCAAAATGCTCACGTGATTGAAATTGTCTGCTTCTTGCTATTTGAAAATTGCTTCTGAATTTATTGATGTATATTTTTCAATCATGCTTTTGATTCAAACGTAGCTGAAATGAATGACGCCCACGCCTATTAATTTCACAGGGTTTGAAACGAAGAGAATCGTTCCTACTTTGATTAGAAGTACGCCATGAAGGAAATGAAAAGAAAGTCTTGATTAAACATTAATTTTTTGCTACTTTTCAATTAGATATATAGAACATGTGACGCACATAGTAGGTGAGTCATTTTATTGTAATTGTCTCAATTTTTTTGTTCCATTTCGATGACCTGTAGGTTTCTTCGCAGGAACCCGAGCGACTTATTTGCCTTGTTTGTAACATTTGTAATATGAAGAAGAACTTTATTGCACGACAATTGCACATGGTACAATGTATGGCAAACTACATAAGGAGAGTAACAACAATAAAATAAGTGTGTTGAATAAGACCTAATGTCGAATAAAACCTAACATATCTATATCATAATCATTTAAATAATAAGGGATATCACAAGTCTTTGATAAAGTGTTACAATCGAGTGGGCTAATCACAAGTTTCGGTATTTTTTCTAATAGCAAAGCATTCCTTTATATATCTACCTATTTTTGCGTTGTGGGGACCATTACACGTAAAGATATATTCAAATCTGTCCCCAACATCAAGACTCTTGAAAGCTATGGTACTTGATTCGAGAAATGTAAATAGCTTGTTACGTATAACATCATATTTGGTACATTCCATAACAAAATGAAATTTGGACAATATGTGTGTCCCAGCTAAGATACAAACCTAAACCTCTGCTTGGAGAGTAACCACTGCCCTGTCACGAGCGGTCACCACGCGCCAACTCTCGCGAGAGGATATGGCGGAAGTAAGCCTGCGGACCGGAAGTGGGAACCCTGCTTGCGGTGATGACGTTCCGTGCTCACCTGTCAATCATGAGACGTCGGACGTTGGTTACGAACACAACGTACCTGACAAGAGCGCAAAGAACCCGAATCCTATGTATAAACAACAAAGCAACTTTGAGGCAGAAGGCGTTTGTAATCCGAATCCGATGTACCTGCGACAAGCTCCGATGTCAACACCAAACGTTCGTGCTGAAGCCACTGAAGGCAATCCCTGCATTCGCCCATGTACATCTACACAGCAGGATGAAAACAACGTACCGGACAAGACCGCTAGGAACCCGAATCCTATGTACAAGCATAGCAGCATGAACTCCGATAGGGTTGAGGCAGAAAGCATCCGGAACCCGAATACCATGTACCCACAACAAGTCCCGATGTCCACGCCAAACGTTCACGCTGAAGCCACTGAAGTCAATCCTTGCATCCAACCATGTGCATCTACGTCTACACAACAGAAAGCAGTTAAACCCTCTTGCAGACTATCAAATACCTGCACCGAGCCACGTGCTACCACATGCCATGATGATGATGGTGTTGATGATGATGTAAAAGATGCTGTTGCTGATCCCATGGGACAGACAGCTGATGCTTTGGTCGAGGATTCCGATATTGAACCATATGCTGTTGCATACATGGACCAACATGGCGTGGTCTTTGAGAAAAATTCAAGTCAGGCACAACCAAAACCGTCTACAAGCATCAGTGACGATATCCCGAGATGCCATCAGTCCACAAATGATGATGATAATGATGATGATGATGGCACAACAAAAGCTAGACATGTTCACAATATGCCGCATATGCATGCACAGAATGCCGCGATCCAGAGATCATCGTTAGCACAAAACGCTCTGCTTCCGAATCCAATGTACGGACAAAACGCCCTGAATCCAAACCCCATGTACGTGCCAAATGTTCCCCAAGAAAGGGGTAAGTTACATCTAAGTTACAAAACATCTTTTTTTACTAGTTTAGCATTATCTTTACTCCCCAAAGGACTTCCATGTGAAATTCAATAGAATGTCTATTCATCCTTTTTAATGGGTGCAAAACGGTTGGAAATGGGTCTGGAGAAGCCTTGTCGTATTATCGATTCGAGCTTGGGTAAGCTATACATTATACCTACCAGATATTCCATCTACATCTTTTCTATTGATGTGTCGCTTGTTATCCAGGGTGTACATGTACATATCGCCGGGTGTGCGTTGCTTTAGTGGCAGCTATCGTTCTAGTCCTGGTGACGTTCTGTGGGACCCTTGCCGGTATATACACGCACTTCAATCAAAACCAAAAGGTAGGTATGTCTCTTATGTCCCTATCACACATTCACAACCTTTCCCCGAACACCAGCCGACCAGTTTCGGCTGACACGGGTGGCACTCTGACCATATTTAGGCCACGCATACCTTTCTATGCGAATCGAAACGAATTTAAGTTGAATTGGAGTCAAATTTGTCCCTGAACTAATATGTTCTTATCCAAAAATTAGTACCACAGGACATTGGGACGCACTAAAACGATGCGTACAATACTTTGAGTTTTGTATCTTAAAGTTTTATCAGGAATCACATGTCTGTTTTTGTTTTTGTTCACAGATGAGTTCTTTCAATAGCTCTCTTGGTGAAGAAACGAGTACAAAAATCACGTTTGGCGAAAGAGGATCAGAGCCTGGAAAATTCAGGGATCCCCGCGGAGTAGCGCTGTCTTCTGACGAGATATTCGTGTCTGATATGAAGAACAAACGAGTTCAAGTCTTCAGCATGGCTGGAGAGTTTCTCCGCCTCTTTTCTACGGTATTGCCCGGTGCAGTTGGAGATGACATCTTACCGGGCGATGTCGCTATTGACGGTGATGGTCTAGTGTGGGTAGTGGGGCGACATTACATCGGTGAAGATGAAGTTACATATGTGGTACAATACGATAGATATGGTCTGCCTCTGACCATGTTTGACGTACCGTGCTGGACTTGGTACCCAAATATCGCTGTTGATCCAAACAACAACAAGATTATCGTGGACACCTCGGGTGAGATGTGGATGTTCCACACGAACGGCACGTTCGAACGGCGATTTGGAGAAGAAGAAGACTTAGAAATTGAATATGTCGCGACAAACAAAGATGGCGGCGTCCTTGTCACGAATATTCGGTCCCGCGATGTCTACTTGTACACGGGCTCTGGAAGTTTGCAGTTCAAATTTGGAAGCCGTGGCAAGGCTGAAGGTACATTCGGTTTTCCCCGGGGTATCTGTACGGACAGTTCGGGTAACATCATCGTGGCGAACCAGGGAAACTCGCGGGTGGACATGTTCACCAGCCGGGGGGAGTTTGTCCGCACCGGCGTTAGTAACTTCCCAAACCCGTTCGGTATTGCTCTGGGACCGGACGGACAGTTGGCTGTAACTAATGTATTTAGACACAGCATAACCATCTTTCCGAGACGTATGGTATTTCCGTAAATACTCGTCTTATTTTGCTTGTAGCGAGTAGTAATATGTAAGTCGGAGGTACCTCAAGATCCGGGTGATGAGTATATGAGATGAATATATATATATGTATATATTATATTCATATTTTTGCATAATTTTTCGGCTCCTTAGGTGGTGCATTTGCATATCAATGAGGCACCACCCTGCACCACCCAGATCTTTAGGTACTTACATATTACTACTAGTTTGCCTGTAGTTCCAGAACAAGCTGCTTGGGGGACCAAACCGGCACCACATGTTCCTGACACACAGACACACAGACACACACACACACAGCAAGTCACACAGACACACACAGACATAGACACACACACACACACACACACACACACACACACACACACACACACACATAAATATGCACACACACACACACACACAGACACACACACAAAATCACACAGACACACACAAACATAGACACACACACAGTTGGTTTGCAGTATTGTTTCATTTTTGTAGGGGGCGCTGGTAGTACATTGATTCGTTGTCTCAACAATTGAATTTATTGTATCTTAAGCTACGGTCGTAACCCGCCGTACGTGCTTCTGCGTGCTGTCTACGTGCAAAAACGTCGGCAAACGTAGGGCATCCGTGCGTGATGAGTACAACCTCAGTACGGAGTTCTACGAATTTGGGAGCACGCAGACACGCCGTTGAACTTTAAGTGCATGTAAAACTTTTTCTACGTGCGGTCTGCGGATTCACCACCCGTGCGTGCGAGTACGAGCGACGCGCGTGCCCCGTACGTGCCGTACGAAAGAAGCACGTGTGAGTACGGCCTCCTTACGCTAAAGTTGCAATCGCACGGAGATCGTACGTTGTAAGCACGTTCAACTCACTTACAACTTCCGCAACGTACGATGCACGCAACCGCTCACGGCCAGACTTGGCGTGCAGACCCCACTCCTACACTTTGTGCAACCGTGCGAGTGACGTGCGTCGATGCCACTCCTTCCCCACGTTTTCAGAAAAAAACGTAGCAGACGTAGCCTCCCAAAAAACGTACGGACAAAAAGCACGCACGGCGGGTTGTGACCGTCGCTTTACGAAAACAGGCACGTGTTATCAACTTATATTTCGCAAAGATGTCACAAATGTTTCAGATATCAACAAAAAATTACAATCACGACTTTCGTAGATTCTGTTCGTAACAGTTAATAACTATTACATCTACATAAGCATTAACCTGTGCATTTGTAACATATTAAAGTGGACGTAGTACTCGTACAGTACTGAAAACCATTTCACACAAATCGCACAACATGTCTACGACAGAAATTTCTTGGACACTCAGATTGGTCTCTTATTTGTAGTCGGACATAATTTTCAGCCGAACAGTAGCCAACCTGGCTGAACACCAGCCATGAACCATGGTTGGCGAACGTTCGGTTAGTGTTTGGGATGCCAGATTCGAGTATGTACGACAGGGATTTAAAAGAATGCTGACGCGACGGACTCGTCATCTCTGACGTCATCTCTGACGTCAGACTCCGGACGGCAGCAGTCTCCGAACACAGAGTCCTCGTCAATATCGTCCAATGACAGACTCGAGAGCTCCGACAGTTCGAAATACCCGGATGTGGACGAGTCGCTGCCTTCCCATGAGGCACAGTACGCCCCGCTGTCCAGACTCTCTGACACACTGATCTGAAATCACAAAAAATACCAAAATTTTAAACAACTGGAAAAGTAACATTTACAAAGCAAATGCATATTGTTTACCTTCGCATATGGTCTGTTTAATTCTCACTCAAACACATTTATGCATGGTCAGACATGAGTCAAAAACCCTCCTGCTATAAAATTGCAACATGGTGTAACCCAACGCCAGTTACCATGGTGACAGACGTCTGGTTCAGGTCATTGACTTATTTGTTTGGAGAACAAGAAGAAATTGAGCAAAAACAATATGTTTTCCTTCGGTAAATTAGAAAGGGAACAATGACTAGTCAAATTCATAAGGAAGTAAAATTGGGGAAAACAAGGACAAAGTCAATAAGTCGTGTCGGTGCTTCTGCCCAAATATGGCATTGGCACTCACGTGACTATGCTTAACTCTCCAATATGGTGGGCACTAAAAGACGTGTTCAAATTTATACTCTGAATCTAATTTTTTTGTAGCCTGGGTACCATCCTACTTGTATGCCGGGGCTTCCACACTCGCTTCCCTAACAAGTAGTCTGGGAACGGTTAGATCTGAACCATCTGGAATTGAAGATTCTCGGTCAGATTTTGCCTGAGTGTGCTGATTGGTCTCTTCTGTCTTGTTCATAAGCCTAACGTCCTACTTAGTATGTGGTGATGCTTATCTCCTGCCTGCTCAGCAGGTATCACTGACCGAGGAAGGGGTTGTTTATTTATCTTGGACGGAGTGGAGTAGCCCTTGAGAGACACTGTTGTCATGGTTTTGCTAACATTTGAAGTAACACAGCCACAAAGAACATCTTGCAATAAAGAAAACTACAAGAAATTGTTGTACTCGAGGTAAATTTGTGGCTGTACTTGTCATACATATGCAGCAACTTTTTTACCCTTACCAAAACAGCACATGGCCACGTGAACTTTTGTACTGATGGGTCATCTAGTGGAAGAGGCTCCGCCCAGCCCTCCCCATGTGGCCTACCTCATTATGTGACATCATCACCAAACCAAATAGATCTAACCGTTCCCAGACTACTTGTTAGGGAAGTGAGTGTGGGAGCCCCGGCATACAAGTAGGATGGTACCCAGGCTATTTTTTGCAGAAATCTTGTACAAAGGCTCTTGTAGAAATAAAATCAAGAGCTATACATAACTTTAAGTAGTATTTTTAAGACATCCCCAGAAGTGCTCAGCCACCCTCTGTCCCTCCCTTAAGCTGTCAATATGTGCGTGGTTTGGGAGGATATTATGATTCAAAAATAGATTGCAATATTATGTTGAAAGTTCATCTGTGTTTGTAGAAGTCATTATGAAGTAAGTTTAAACTGTAATTTCCAACACAACAAAAATTGGACTCACCCAAATTTTCGACTGTACAACTCCAGTCTTTTTCAAGGAATGAGCAATCCACCGCTTCCGTGACGTCACGCAGATAACACACGTGACTCCGTGAGCAGTAAATCATAGGTTGCAGAAAGTGGATTGCTCATTCCTTGAAAAAGACTGGAATTGTACAGTCGAAAATTTGGGTGAGTCTAATTTTTGTTGTGTTGGAAATTACAGTTTAAACTTACTTCATAGATTGCAATATGTTTGGGTGCTGTTCTTGTGTTTTTAATTCCTAGTCAACCAAGCTAGTCATGCGAGCAAGGCCAGCTTGAAAACAAGTCCTTTCATACAAGGTGCACAGAAACATCTGTCAGTGACCCTTAAACACAACACCTATTATTTGTCACCAATGTTATGAACAGAAAGGTACGTTAAGTGTTGCTATTAGGGTGACACCAGACAACACATTTCACACACAGAATAGGAAACAATTGACGCAAGTCCTTATGCTTGTTGAATCAGGAAGTAATGGTATGTTTTGAAAGCGGTATAGACAAAATAAACATTTTGAGCTTTTAGAGATAAAATGTGAAATAACATGATTTATGGTATAAGGCCACACCAAGTAAATTTTATGGATGACGTCCTTTGGAGACCCTAAATCTAATGCGAGAGGGCGAACAAAAACAAGAAGGGCCCTAAAAAACAAGATGCCTAGATAAGAAATATACTAAGAGACGACAAATGTTAGGGCACAATTTGAATGAGGTGACATAGTGTAACAAGCAAGAAGTCTTTTATTCGTAATCAAAACAGCAATAAATCAGGTGTAACAGCAGTTGTCGTCCTGCCCTGTCCTCGCGTTACGGGTTTCACGTCAATCTGACGATTTGTGGCACTGTCGTGACTCTTTGGTCATAGTTACAGGAAGTGGAATTTCTTGTTTTTTTTTTTTTCTAGGAACAGGCCAAAATCAATGCGCGCGCGGACGTCATCCATAAAATTTACTTGGTGTGGCCTAAGAGCGAATTGACGGAGGTTGTATGTGATTTTGAAATACGATATAGCATATAGCTGTTTTTGTAAGATAGCCTGATAGGGTAGGCACTACGTTAGAGTACGTATTAGCGTGCGTAGTAGCAAAAATGGTCCGAGATCACTTTCTATTATTTTTCTTGCACATATTGATCAATGTATCATTTCAAATCTTTTTTTTCAATCAAGTTCCCTTTGCAAAATTGAACAAAAAGCAAGACAGCATTTTGTAAAAGGTATATACTGGTTGGTGTTTGGGGGAAGGTTCTGAATGTGTGCCAGGGGCTTTAAAATCTAGAATAGGCTTTATACACTTTGCAGAGGAGAGAACCCTGTATGTAAACAGGTAAACCGTAACCTAGCAACCAAACGTCACACGCCTCAGCGTCCCTATCCTTCAGCAGACCAAACAATAGACAGGTGAGCCCACACAGGTAGGGGGTACAGAACAGGTGCGTTGAGAGGAAAATAATAACAACCTGGTCTACCACTGTTTTTCATCTACCTTCACTAGTGCAGAAAAGTGCTGTGGAATTCTTGACATTAGTACGTCGTATTTAATTTGTTTATGTATGAACACTGAAACTTTTAGTTATTTTGTTTATCTAATGCACAACAATTGTTTTTATGTGTTAAGGTAGCCAACATCAACTTGCTGATGATTCTGCTACACTGAAGAGTTGGGCTGCAGAATTTGGACCATCGCACACCGGGGCATGCCCCTACTCTTTTTCGAAAGGTGTGGTGGGTTCTTTAACGTGCGTGGGGTGTGGGTCTCCCCAAACACGGGACCTCCATTTAACGTCCTATCCGAGTGAAGTCTCTAACCGAAAAATACGTAAAAAAAGTTTTACTTGAGTGAAGTGAGGAAAGTTGCGTTAAGTGACTTTACACGTATGTACGTGGAATCGAACCCAGGACCCATGAGTTTCGGGCTGAATGCCCTATATAATACTCAACACGACGCCATAATTGTAATACAAGGTACACATCAATGCGCCTGCCAGAGATTTGAGCCCAGAACCTTCGAATTCTGAGTCAAAAACCCTAACCAAGGCAACCTTGGGGTCGTGTGGCGTAGCGGCAGAGTGCGCGACACGGAACCTAGAGGTCCCGGGTTCGAGTCCTGACATGCCACCGATCTTGTGCCCTTGGGAAAGGCACTTTACACGACTTTCCTCACTTCGCTCAGGTGAAAATGAGTATTGTCTTGTCATGTATTTGTCCCCTGTGTTGGTGGCGGCATTAATATAAGTTGAAAAACTTGAGTGTGCCGTCACCACGTCTTGTGATTGCATGTTTCGGAATATATATATATATAAATACCTTGCCACCCCTAGTTCGTAATTTCTTTACAAACATGTCTTCCCATGGCAAGTATGTGAAGGACATATTTGAAGAGTGGACCGTGTAGAAGACGTCCTCTTGAACCGTTTTGTTGTAAACAAACAAATTCCACAGGGTGTTGAACATGTTTACTCTGACAAGTGGTTCATCTTGTTTGTCTACACAACTCCTAGGCTTTTCCAAGTTGCTGTGGTATTTTGGGTAGTTCAAAAGTTTAGACTTTCCAGTACTGAGGGATTAAAACCCCTGTCACACAACACATTCAAGACCTTCCCTCGAATGTATTCCCGAACACCAGCCGACCATATTTTCTGTTGTTTTGCCGCCCTGAAATTGCAATGAATGCCTTTAAGATCTTTTCTCAACATCTGCTTGGAGATTTAGTTCCCAGGAACTGTGATCCGTATGAAGAATAATAGGGATTGCGCCTGGAGCCATGTGTTTTCATTCGGCGCACGTTTGAAAAGACAGAAGCTAACAGAATCAGGGTTTAGCGCAGGGAAGCGTTATAATGTTGACTTTACAGGGATTAACCCTTCCGCGCCTAAGGCTATCAGCTAAGTCTACCCTAGGGGGACTTTTATTCATTGCAAATTCTTGCTATGATATGACAAAACCAGCAACATATACGACAAATATACATTGTTTGACACCTAGCCTGGTTTTGAGAAAGAACAATTTCTGCCTGATATTGACATTTACAGCCATTTCTTGGCGCATTTCTATTACTCTATACTCTATACCTGAAGCGTTTTTCAGGCCTAAAGCTTTTAAATGGTCCCAAAACAAGCTACGTGTGGAGTCTCCTTATTTTTGGTACCACCAATAAATGCCATCAACCTACGATACGAAAGAAGCAACCGTTTTCCCTTACTGCATGACATCACATTTTTGCCTCACAAATATCAGTATGCTACGGGATAGGATTGATTAGGCCAGAACAGCAAGTTGGTCTGAAAAAAAAAGACATTTCATAGCAGCGATTTTCGTTAAAAAACAACATAACTAAATTGCGCTCACCTCACTTTGCAAGTCATCAAGCAAGGAAGCTGCGTCGTCCGTTAGTTCTTCTTTCTCTCCCTCTTTCCTCCCGATTTCGTACCAGTCTGCTGTCCCCTCTGTTTTCAGTTTTTGCTTCATTTCGTTCTGTTCTTTGATGTCTAACAAAACAGGATTTCCATCCGGGTCCTTGACCAAGAAGGTATCCCCTATTTTGTACGGTTTCAGGTCCGCCATTTTGGCTACGCTCTCAGTCGCAAACTTGAGCATGGCCTTTGATGTTGGATACGGAGTCAAGTATTCTGAATGCTTCAGTGCCAGCTGTATATCAAGCCCGGGCTGGGTATACAGCGTGAACAAACAGAAGCCAGGTCTGGAACAAACCGCTTTTTTCTGGGTCAATCTGGTGTAGAAATCCACCATGGCGGAAAAATTCCGGACCACCAAGTTGAAACGGAAGATCTCGTTCCCACAATGGAGGGGTTCGACGCACCACAGCGGGAGTCTCGACCCCAGGTCGAAGAACTCCTGTTTGGCGATGCAGGACGCGTTGGTTGTCCGGACCAGCTCGAGGCGGTGGTGAAACCTCCACGGCGGCCTGTGCAGGCATTCCCGGGCTGACGTGGCCGAGAGGTCGCCGCCGGAGTCCTCACGGAGTAGGAGAACCACGGAAATGGCTTGTGTGTTCCCGTCTGTCTTCTGTAGCAAGAAAATAAAATGCGTAAATAATTAAGGCATCCAATGCAAGTTTAGAGCTGCAAAACAACAACAACAACAACAACAACAACAAATAAGTATCATTTCTCAGCACATTTTTGTTATCAAAACAAGCGTGAGGAGTCCCTGTATTTTTGGTACCACCAATAAATACCTAGAACCAGCCTATAGCAAGAAAACCGTTAGAATTGATTCAACTTTTAACACCAAAAAACTGACCAGAAAATCTCGAACTTGCATAAAGAATATTTTGAAAATATTCTTCATAAATATTTTCCAAGGAGAGAAATGATTTTTGTTTCATTTTAAAGGCCGCGATATGCCACTGGAATCGATTAGCAGACTTAGATACAATAGTCTTCTTTTCGTCCCGTTGCGTGGGAAAGTACCTTATGCGGAACCGTGATCGACTTTCTGACTCCCTCCCCTAACACAATCATCACTCAGTAGTCTCTAATTCACAAGGCACCGCCGTTTTTATGCTGTCGTTTCTCGTACAAAAGAAATTAGAGCTAGATGTATCTCCTATAGGGGGAAGTTTTTCACTACGATGTAATGACCACTGTGTATTGTATCTTAATTTTCCGGTCCCGAGAGGGGGTATGTGATAGCCTCTACCAGGCTTCGGATGTGCCTGGGAAGAGTAGAAATTGTAGCCTCTACCAGGGCTCGGGAGGCGGCTGGGAAGAGTAGAAATTGGCCAAATTTTGTGGTCTGAAATTTTTGTGGTCTGCCAAGACTACATTTGCCGCGCACCCAATGTACTACTAGTACCAACTCTCCTGGCATATTATCTGTCTATTTGGAAATTTCTATCCCAGCCGCTTCCCGAAGACTTCGGGAGGCGGCTGGAAAGGGTAGAAATTCGCCAAGCTGAGAGAGATAACATTACATAGGTGTTGGTCCGCTAGAGAGTACAGTTTGCCACGACCGAAGCCTGGTAGCTAGAGGCTACTGGTTACTCTCCAAGCAGAGGTTTGGGTTTTATGGTTTATTTCAGGCATTTTTATCGGGGTTTCTCTTTTTCACGCAAACCCAAGCGATAAAAAAGCCTAAAAACACGCCAAAAATATGCCAAAACCCAAACCTCTGCTTGGAGCGTAAGTAAGTGGCGGTAGGGGGTGAGGATAGAGTCTACACATAACATAGTCGGCCGGCATACTACACAGGGACCGCGTGTTTACGAAACAACATTAGCGGCTGGAGAGCACACAAGTCAGCGATGCCAAAATGGGTTAGAATAACACGCGCGAGGTTCTAATAACAAGCTCGACTGTCGTGTACAATTCGCAGCGAGGTTGTAGCATGCAGAACAAGACCGCCGACAAGCATCTACGACAATTTTTTTCGGGCACAAGACAGATTGGATTTTGTGCGACTGAACTACGACACTTAACGAGTTTCCTAAGCCTAAGAACTGGTCTCAAAGCCCTGTTAACATGTTGTAAACCTAACGTACAACGAATGTAATTATGGACCATAGACACGTACATACTACAATGCGTTCACTCATACATGTACATGTACATTTCATTAGGCCACACCGATTTAATTTTATGGATGACATCCTCTGAAGACCCCCAAACTAGTGCGCGCGGGCGAATAAAAAAAAAATACCGGCCAAAAATAAAATTGCTACTAAACCATAGGAATACAAAGCTGGTATTGTGAATTTGCGACAGTACATAGCGACGTGTACGACAAGCCGGTACATGCTGTTTTTTTTGCGGCATCTATGAATCGGTACTGTACGTATGTCTGAGTTCTGGGTATGTCTGAGTCATGGAGCTTCGATAGCCTGGGTGCCCGGCTCCGTTTTGTCGCTGACTACCATGGACTACCCAGGTCTAGAGCCAGGCCAGAGTCTCGGTGAAGGAGATCTTTTTTTTTTTGAGGGCGACAGGCGAAAATCAATGCGTGCGCGGATGTCATCCATAAAATTAAGTCGGTGTGGCCTTACTAGTATCACAATTAGCAATCCTCGGAGCAGCCTATAAAGTACTAGGTATACATTTTGCAAGTTAACGTTGCAATATGATTATGTTCTATATCACACTAATACTTTTACTTTATTTATGTATTCAAGTAAGTGTGATTAAGCAATTTTAGCTAATCTACGTTGTTTATGCATGAGTGGCCAATATTCATTCGTAATATGCCGTGTGGGGAAATAATGCATTGGAAGAAATCAAAAGGACGAAATTCTTTTAAGCACCGAATCTCAAATTTCATCATTGTACTATTGATCCTAGAAATTTCCGATGCACGTTGCGTTTATAGACAATCGATTTATTTTCAAAATTCATATTTAAGCAAAGGAAAAAGCACATATTTTGCACAATGGCTAAGACAACATAATGGATGTATATACCATTCAAAATGAAATAAATGTACTCAGCAGACGTTTTAGTTTTTTCACTCATTGTACAGCAAATCCTCACAGAACATTCCATTGAAGCCATAAGCTCGCTGGCACAGATACATATATGACCGGAGGGATTTCTGTACTATTTCTGCAGATCCCTTATAATCCAAGAGATTTAGCTCTCCTGGATATGATGAAAAAGAAGATTAACTACAAAGAATTACGTCTGATTAAGTCTCACCTCTAAACTGGGCCAGTCAGGCCTGTGTTGTGAAATGCAGACGAGCTGAAAGGCAGGGTCCATCCAGGCGAGGAGCGGCCTCAGCGCCCGGCGGTACCACAACGCTTTCCCCGCGTCGCTGGCGAACAGTTGTAGCCTACATCCGAACGGGTCTTGTACATCCATGCTACCACCTTCTCTCAGAAAACCCCTACAATCATACGAAATCAGCCTTTTCTGGCTATAACTGTGTGAAATAACGAAGGTATAGTACGGTTGAGAGGGTGTACGTGACTCGAATGCCAAGGTGGTGTCTAATTATGCCGAATATTCCGTCGGTTAATTCACGCTGTGCGCAAGTTTTCAGTTCAATGATAATCGACGTCAGGATATTGTGCACTGGTAGATCCTATACAGTAGATATAGAGAAGAAAACGAACCAGTCTTCCTCGCGTCCAGCAATGCTAGTAGTTGTTGTCTACAGCAAAGTTGAGCCCGTCAAACGACAGAATTTCTGTGGATTGCATGGAAAGATGACATAGATGTAAGGAGTTTAAAATTCTTCGTACATTTGCAAAATCGATGTCACCAACGGTCCCTTCGCAAACCGTACCAGACACTGGCCCCGGCCGAATCTGTCAAGAAATGGATGGTACTTCTTTACACACAGCACTTCTAAGGAATGTTTTCTTGGAACGTGCTTCAAGTCACCAGATATGAAGAAACCAACTGACTTCAGGGCGTTATATACATATAAAAGACGGACAGTTTTTCTAAGCTTAGTCACCTTTTTCAGTTTCAGAGGTCTTCCTCTTGTGGCAGTTGCACAGTTGAATTCCTATAGGTTGTCTGCGCGGGAACAGAGGATTGCATACTATCGTCTGCAGTGTTTTCGGTTGCTCCTAGCAACCGCATGAGAACACGCATACAGATCGTCTGCTCCCTCCTCAAGCATGCAACCAAAATATCGTCTGCAGCTAGAAAGAATTCCAGTCACTGAACCTGGTTTTGACGTCGATTTCGAGTCCTCACTGAGTCTTCCTGTGCTATTTTTGAAGTAGAAAATACGTAACTTTTCCTGTAATAATTACCGATTTTCTTCAACGTTTTGACTGTAAAAAAATGACATGTGTCCGTCAAAGTTTCCTTGTCAATCAGTCGACGAATTTGAACAGTTGTCCGTTTGTAACCGTCGCAAACGAGCCCCAAGGTATCACGGTTGTCAATTAAAAAATAACGTCACCATTGATCGAGGTAGTACTTCAAATGGCCCCACCTTCACTGTTGAGACACACGGTGTGGCTTTGCTACAGTTGGAGGCGTGACTTGGCGACGATACTGTAGACTGAAAACAGCTTTAAGTCACGATAAGTTCCCACATTGTCTTGCCTGCACACTCTACCATTCACTCGCCGAATCCGTGTTTAAATTCAGACCACCTCCATGAATACTAAAAACCGTTCCACAGTTGACGAGAATGCCTCTTCTTGATAAGCCCGGAACCTCAGTTGCAAAAGCCGTCCAATACGTTGAAGAGTTGTAGAAGAATACGAAATCCTGTCCTTTTACTCTAAAACACAACACTCTATTTGACTGATCTTACGCCACAGATTCCCGTAAAAAAATCCAGGAAAAAATACTCAATCATAAGAAAATACCAGGTAATTCTCCGAAGTAGAATCCACTGGAAATCTGCATCCTGTATTCCGTACCACACGTCCTATCTAGCCGCATGTATGACTCTTCAATGGTTGGTTCCCCAATGAATGAAAACTGAGCGGCCCTGGGGTGGTATTGTTGGTCGCTGCCGGTGTTTATGTCAAAACACCGATGCCTTTATCGGGGGAGCATGTCAAAGGTCTGAATGCCTCGTCCTTGAAATCAAGACTTAGGCCAAAGCAAGTAAATTCTATGGATAACATCCTCCGGAGACTGCAAATCTAATGCGATAGGGCGAAAAAAAAACAAGGCGGGCCAAAAAAAAACAAGATTCCTACATTTTCAAATTTTGACACCATTATAACCTTGTTAAACAAGAAATGATACCTTTATTGTGCTAAGTCTAGTACCAACTAATGTAAAATCAATTTGTCACTGAAAGTTTGAAAAATAAAGGTTTTCATAGCCCTCGGGCATGAATTCGCATTAAAACAATTATTATATATCCTCTTTTCAAAGTTTAATACGATAGACGTATATGTTAAAACATCTGAGACTGTCCCCGAGGTCTGTGCAGGATTTGGTTGTGGAGAGTTTCTGTGCGGATTGTTGGCTTCTCTAGTGCACTACCGAAACAAAGACAATAGAGGGCGCTTTTCCACTCGGAGGCTATCAGGGGGTATACGAGGGGACTTAATACATGACGGAGTGGGGCGATTAGGTGGCCTCATATAGTACAGGTCACTGCATACACGGATGTACCTTAGAAGCAATATGACGAGTCTCGCCCCAAAACACCAAAAGACCCAGGTTGTCTGAAGGTCCGGGAGCATTCTTATTAGATATAGGCCACGCCTATATCTAGAATCGAATTTGATTTAAATTTGAGTCAAATTTGACTGCCAACCACTCCCCGGAGATACAAAAACAGGAAGTTCTGCTGTAGTACCAAATGAAGCAGCCAGAAGGTTCAAAATTGACCTTGACCTTTCTTCCTCTTCTCAATACCTACCCACATACCAAATATCATCACAGTCCATCAATAGATTATTCAGTATGCTGAAACAAAAGTCACACCGAAAAATACCCCGCTAGGTGTTTGTGAATGTTGGGATTCATTTGATATTGTGAATTTCTCATGGATTATATATTAGGCCATGTTGATTTGATTATATGGATGACATCCTCCGGGAGCCCCAAAACTGATGCGCGCGTGCGAATAAAAAAAAAGTTTTGCAAAAAAAAAAAGTTCTTTTCATTATGAAATTTACGTGGTCATGAGGGTTGAGCAAATGACACAGAATATGGTTTGGCGAATAATCTAGTCTTCCAGCTCATTTCTTTACAATTTCGTCTTTTTTCGTTTGATTTTGGCATTCTACGACATTGGTATAGTTCTTATTATTTTTTTTGTGTAACTTATGGTATATTTTTGCTCATTTTGCAACTGGTTTGTACGATTTACAGTATGGTTGAAAACTTTTTTTTTTTTGGAAACGGCCGAAAATTCATGCGCGCGCAGATGTCATCCATATAATCAAATCAACATGGCCTTATAAGGAAACGGACATGCATGTACAGGTTTGCTCGTTCTCTCACAAGCAGTGAGAAATACCGTAATTGGTTGCCAGCACAAAGGGGGGATGTACATAATAGAACACTAAGGAACATCACGAAACTGACACAGTTTAAGTGCCGAACACAGCGCATGTTAAACAGTACACTACCCTATTGTGTCTGTCTGCTGAATGACAGTTAAAGTAGTAGAACTGTAAGTCGTGATGATATTGTTTTTATGTAATTTTATAGTGATTTATGTCTTTGTTATTTCTGATTTGCAATGCTTTATGCTGATAAGCACATGATTTTAGTGGAAAAAAAACGCAATTCAGCATTTTTGCTGCAAGGGTTTTTGTTGTTGAATAAACCATTCTCTCTCTCTCATGTAGCAGGTGATGAAAATGACAGATGGTGATTGAACACAGGCTCTTGTTAAACAAGTGGTTGTGAATAAAGATCTTTGCTATTCATCACATTCATGTTTCTGACGGGCAAAGTTATTGACATTCCAATTGTCCACTACGACAGAAAAAGTTGCAATGTCATCAGGTAGAATATCAAACATATTGATCCATGACACTAAAATAATTTTCATGCATCAACGCACAAATGACTTTTAAGTCATTTGTCCATTGCATGAAAATTATTGTGCTTTTCATAAAAAAACATTTAAAAATGTTTTTTTTTATGAAAAGCAAGGAATTGACATTCTAATTGTGTCTACAACAATGATAGAATTCAGAGGATCATCAACTTAAGCCAAACACCATAAAACGTGAAATATTTCTGATGGTTTTATTTTAAAGTCACAGTTATTTGAACACCGTAAAAAGTGTTTTATGATGTATTACTAACGTATTAATGCTTTGTTTCAAACCTCAACTTAAAACACTGTGCGTCTACTTCAAAATCAGGTCATGCAAAAATAAGTGAATTTACAGTAACCCAGCTGCACCTGCAATTTCAAAGCCTGTCAACGTAATTGCACATAATGATTTTCAGTCAGCTGGAAAATTTCCGGTTGAAAAAATAATTTGATTGGAAATTGTTCTGAAGAGAAATATAGAATAGCGCTATAACAATTACATAGAATAAGAGGGAAACCAGAACAGGTTTCAAAGTAATTGCAGTTAGTTGTAAAACATAAATCTAATGTCTATATTGGCACCAAACATTTGAAATGCCACTAGGAGAACAATGTTACAGTCTGGTCTTATGCAGCTTGTACATGTGTGTACATGTACAAAACTGGTGTGTTACGCCTAAAGGCGGTTTACCGGTTATGCTAAACAAACAAACAAAAACAACCATTGAGAAGTTTTTAAAGCTTACAGAGGTAGTTCTTATGTAGCCACTGATGTCTCATGTCTTCTTACTCTCCAGACTCAAGATGAAGTCAAACTCCTCTGTGCACAAATAAGATTATAGAATTAGTCAAAAGGTAAAGATTATGTACAGGCCTGAAATACCACAAGTGTATGCAGGTTAGTGCAGGTAAAATTGGAGCTGTGCAGGTATTTTTGATGTCTACCTGCACCTAACCTGCACTGGTCCATGTACTGGGTATATGCAGGTTAGTGCAGGTAAAATTGGAGCTGTGCAGGTATTTTTGATGTCTACCTGCACCTAACCTGCACTGGTCCATGTACTGGGTATATGCAGGTTAGTGCAGGTAAAATTGGAGCTGTGCAGGTATTTCTGATGTCTACCTGCACCTAACCTGCACTGGTCCATGTACTGGGTATATGCAGGTTAGTGCAGGTAAAATTGGTGCTGTGCAGGTATTTCTGATGTCCACCTGCACCTATATATAATATAACCTGCACTGGTCCATGTACTGGGTATATACAGGTTAGTGCAGGTAAAATTGGGGCTGTGCTATTTCTGATGTCTACCTGCACCTAACCTGCACTGGTCCATGTACTGGGTATATGCAGGTTAGTACAGGTAAAATTGGAGCTGTGCAGGTATTTCTATATACATGTATCATTCTATACAACCGTCTACCTGCACCTAAAATTCACTACTGCAAACAATGTGTAAATTCACTGGCTGGTTATTTTTTTTTAGTAAGGCCATGTTGATTTGATTATATGGATGACATCCGCGCGCGCATGAATTTTCGGCCGTTTCCAAAAAAAAAAAGTTTTCAACCATACTGTAAATCGTACAAAACAGTTGCAAAATGAGCAAAAATATACCATAAGTTACAAAAAAATTTAATAAAAACTATACCAATATCGTAGAATGCCAAAATCAAACGAAAAAAGACGAAATTGTAAAGAAATGAACTTGAAGACTAGATTATTCGCCAAACCATATTCTGTGCCATTTGCTCAACCCTCATGACCACGTAGATTTCATAATGAAAAGTAACTTTTTTTTTTTTTGTCAAAACTTTTTTTTTTTATTTCGCACGCGCGCATCAGTTTTGGGGCTCCCGGAGGATGTCATCCATATAATCAAATCAACATGGCCTAAAATGTCTAGTTGGAAAAAATCACAAAGAAACTGCTGTTGTACATGTACCTTTGCTCACAGGCTGAACAGACAGCCTTGCTCTGGTAAACAGAGCCATGTTCTGGAGAGCGCCCCCTGTTGACTTGTGCTCCAAATGCAGGGCCTTCAGTTCCGACAAGGGGATGAAACGTTTCATCATCCTCACAAACTTCACATCTACCTGGAGGCAAAACATGGTGATATCATAAATAATCAATATGATTTCATACATTTTTCAACAATACGCAATGGATAGATCCAAGTTAACAGATAAGAACACTGCAATGGACCATTCTTACGTCACAGTTTGTTTTACCTGTTCTAAAGAACATTCTAGAACGGTCAGTTAAAGAATAAATATCATTTCAAAGTTTTCAAAGTCAGGTATGTTTAATTTTTGCTGCGTCTAGTTGTGTTGACACAGCATTAACGTTACATGCCGCATGGGTGATTTAGTTGTGACATTAGACGAAAGTAGTACTGTATTAAAAGCCTAAATTTATATTAGGCTAACGCTACACAAACGCACACCGCGCTACGCACCCCTGTACAATATAAACGTTGATTGACCGGCATTCATTGCGGTAAACAAACTGTGACGTAATAATGGTATAGGTCCATTAAATGTACAAAATCTAGACTCTTACCATGAACCATTTTGGGTTGTCTTTCTTTGAAGAGCTGAAATGACAGATATGACACTTAGATTTGTTTGCATATAAACGTGATTTTTGTTGAAGAAGTTCATCTGTCACGTAGAATAAACAGTTAGTAGAAATTCTTCGATCAGTGACTGTATTTTTGTAAGGTAGATTACGTACCTCCAAATTTTCGGTGTCAACTGTACACCTTGATCACGGAGTGACCTAGTGTCGTGAGAACGCGACACT